CGCAGAGTCGACAATACGTCTTGAAATGTAGCACAACATTTCCAAAAAGTACTGATGTCAGCACCCCCTATCGTGACAGCGCCCTGAGTCAACCTCGTAAATTTCATCATATATAAATACTTCGCCGCCCTAATAATCATTTTTCAATTACCATCGAGGGTGATCGGGCGCGCATTGAAAAATCACGAATTTGAAACCAAATGCGTTTGCAATTTCGTCAAAAATAGCCTTTCAGACCTTTTGCTTACCACCCATAAAAAAACTCCGAAGCATTTATGTTAGGAGAAAAAACTTGATTTTCCCAGCTTGCAGACCACTGCGCGCATACAGCTACCTTAGCAAAAAAATTTGGACAAGATCTGGGACCGTTGCGTGCGACAGCTATAGAAACTGCCGGAATCCTTAGAAAAATGGCCTCTTATGTTTTACTTGAGTGAACGTTTTTCGATGCAATTGCCCAGAAAAGGTGATTATGCTCGGCACGCACGCATGCACGCAGCATTCTCGCCAACGGCGAGTGCCGTGGAGCGGCTAGTTCTACTAATTTTTTTGCTGAAGCAAATTGAATAACAGTGACACATCAGTAGCCCAGTGTGATCAAGGGTAGTTTTAGCTATCTGACATAGTCAGATGCAGCTTGTAGAATCGCAGCGCATGCGTCCGTCTGTGCGTCCGTCTGTGCGTCCGTGCGTCAACGTGGCACAAATCTTAACCCCCCGCTCGAGAAACGTACGTCACGATATCGGGTCGTTGGCGGGGGATCGGTCAAAACGATGGGGATATCGAAGCTGGCCGCTCAAAGGTCAAGGTCAAGAGTGTAAAGAAGGGGGACATTCACTCTTAACTTAAGGTGATAGGCCGAGGAATGCAGAATTGACGGCACAAATCTAAACGGCTCGACCTAGGCTCGTGATAAGTCGGTGTATCGCATCATGTAGGAAAAGGCCATCGCTGTGCCGAATCTGGAGGTCAGCAGGTCAAGCGTGCAGTGGGCCACAGGGCAGATTTTATACATTTTCTGGGGAGCGATGCGTCTCACGGAGCGATTGAAAAACTTTTTTGTGGGTCAGCTGGGTGACCTAGCGATTTTTAGTGCTTTATTGAAAGGACCATGAAGATGCCCTTTCTGCCGACATGCGAGAGTAAGTGTCGGATAACCTTTTGCCCTCAGAGGAGGCGCTTAAACATGGGATTTGTGACTGTAACAATAGGCCTGAACTGCGCTTTTTGCTATTGTGGAGAAAAAAAAGACGTGAGGCTACAGCTTGCACAGTACAATGACAAAGGCCAAATGTTTGTTGAACAGGTTACGCTCCTTAAAATCATGAGTATTTTCTAAGCAGTCTCTGTAATTAGCACACTGAGTAGCACCCTCGTAATTAGCAACACTCTAATGAACCCTGACTGCGCGTGTGTGTATGCAAAAACATGGGGGCCAGCCATGTACGCATGCATGGGGTGAACTGGCACTATTCTAATCATAATTATTAGTCTAATCATAATACTGCAATGCAGATGGTGTTAACTCACAGCTGAGCGAAATTCTCCTGTGCCTGAATATAACTCCTGCCCTGCCTGCAACTCATGGAGTGAGGTTATCACGCCACGAAGGGTGATCCATCTTTGATTATGTGACAACTTGCACGCGCCATCTCGCGGCAAACTTGCTTTGCTATGTAGAGCATCCTTTCACCTGCCCCTCTCCCACTCTCCCCCCACCACCAGCCACTACGCTCGCGCTCGACACATATCCATGATAACATGTTAATATAGCGAAGTCACAGCTGTATCTTTATTACTTACTACCGGTATTAGCAAAGCCTAGCTATCATAGATTTTAGATCTGTAACTTAGTAGTTTCCTAGATATATGCTCTGAGGCTACGAAACGCGGGATGGGACGGTGCTCTTCATTCGTTTGCAGTGAGTTAGCATCAGAACACCTGCCGTCAGGTGAGCGCTGTCGCCTCTGCGCCTTGTTGTGAATGTGCATTCATATTATTTTAAGTTTTTAGTGATGTCTAAGTCCCTGTGAGTACAACCATATAGATGGCAGCTTTATGTGTACTGCTAGCATTACTAGCCAATAGCGGATACACTTTTTTTTTTGCTTTTCAACATAGCTTGATCATCTGAGCCTTGTCATTCATTGCTTTCGACACGTGCTATCTTCAAAGGATCACTTTAAGGTTAAGCTTCTATTTGTGGTTCTGACTTTCAATATTGGAATTCTTCTCTTCTGCTGTACATAGTTTATTGCAAATTTGAAACTTTTTCTACTGCCATCTGCATGTTTGATAAGCCTATTTGATAAACTTTGTCTCATTCCATCTTCATTTTAGTCTCTTGGACTTTTTGAGGATTAATAATTTCATGAGGTTTACACACATAATGTTGGCCAAAAACAGGAACAGGGGTACATCTAAATTTAGATACTAAATTATCAATTAACACCGCAGCAACAGATCCTTGTAGTCAAGATTTAATGTAGTATAGATATCAAAGAGGATGTCATACTTATTGAGGTAACCTTGTAATATTAGGCCTCAAAGTTCGAAAGGGATATTGAAGATGGAAAGAAACAAGGGTGATCAAATTTACAGATCAACACTACGATTCGCAGTAGAAAAAGCCTCAAGTTTGCAACTAACTAAAAGGAAGAATCAATAGGTATGCAGAGATTCTGTAAGTTTTAGGTTAAGCCTAAGGTGGCAGTATAACAGTAAGCGTCCCGATTTCACCGTTGCACTTTTTGTCTCTATAAAAGGCCTTTTTTGGCATTTTTTTTTCGCCGAAATTCGGCACTAGAGTGCAATAATTAGCATTATGCACGCAAGTTGGATGCTCGTGGACGTCGAGAAAGCATTAGAAGTAAAATTATTTTTGTGTGTATTCGTGACATTCCGTCAGGTGCGTAGTCACAGCGACGGTTGGTGTTTTTTGTGTATGAAAATGTGTTCAGACAACTTTGCAGATTCGCATCATTGAGCTGGCACACGTTTCGAGGGAGCATAGAGCATGAATCTGTAGTTATTTAACATGAATAAAGTGTATGTTTTGTAGCTGCAGTAACAGTGTGAGTATTTTTAATTTAATTTCTGTTCGATGCTTATTCAGCCCTGCAGCCTATGGACGGCCTCTACTGTTGTTCACACTTAAACGCGGGTTAGCGGTTCGTTAACTCTGCGCGATGGGAGGGGGTTAACGCTAGCTACGTAAGCTCCGTATGACGCAGTGAATCATTATCTTATCGCAGATAGAGCTAAGTCGCTAGTAATCAGTGTAACAGTATTCATGTTATTTCATGCACTGCACAACGAGCCATCTATTATATAGCGCCATACGCGAGTGTTATGGGAATCCAACATGGCAGCTCCATGTCAACGTTGTAACTTCGATGTGCTAAATAAAACACCATGAACTACAACAAGACTTGTCAAATACCATTACAATCAGTAGACTGAATAGGCGGCGACACATGCAATGTTTGACATCCGCGTTACTTCTTTCTGTGACTTTTCAAGATTTCACAGATTTTCTCCGTGCATATTTTTAACTTTTGCCGATATTTTCAATAATATACGGATCACGGCACGAAGAAATAACTGGGAAAAAGCACGAGCGTACAAGCTACTCGTTACATGCGTATACTTGCAGTACCGCTGTAAAACGCTCTGCCTCCCACTAGCTAGCCTTAGAACTCGGGTTAGACAAACTCCGCGTAGACGATGCGGTTTCTGAACTCGGGTTATGTGTGAACTCGGTTAGGTTTCGGTTAACTCGGGTAAGTGGACTCCGTGTAGATGAGCGTAGCTCCGCACATCGCCAGCAATGCAACTACAGAGTTTGCGATTAAACTTTCAAAAACGGCCTTCTTCGAAATTAGTATAAACTAACGTAACTTAGATAACGTAAAAACTTCAGACATCTGATTAGAAAGTGATAGAACGTTGATAAACTAATCACCTCGTTGCCCCTTCCATAGTGTAAACCCAGCTTAAGCTGAAGGTAGTTGGTGATTAACGTTGCTCTTTTTTCCTCGCAGGAAGTCGAACGACAGACGGGAGAACCTGCGCAGGGAAGAAACTGCTTAGCTTCCCACCTGTGTGATGGATGTGTGTGTGCTATCTAGAGTTTTACCGCCTGCAGAAGGAGAGAAATCGCATGCGTGTGATACGTGTGGACACAGATTCGCGCTAGAGAGCATCTTGCAGACCACCATGCTCATTCACACAGAGAGACACCCTATGCGTGTGATATGTGTGACTACAGATGCTCTCAGATGTGTTGAGCTGAAGCGACGCAAACGCACCCATACAGGAGAGAAACCCACGGGGGAGTTGTAGTTTTGTTTCATTTCGTGTTCCAAAATTAGAGACATGAAGAAACAGCAAGCGCATTCACACAGGCGAAAAGCCTTATGGCATTGTGACACATGTGGACTACAGGTGCAGTAACTATCCAATCTTAAGGCACACGAGCGAACTCACACAGGAGAGAAACCATACGCGTGTGATATGTGTAACTATAGCTGCTCTCGGATGCCTGACCTCAAGCGACATAAACGCATTCACACGGGAGAGAAACCATATGCGTGTGATATGTGTGACTACAGGTCCAATCAACTAGTCCGTCTTAAGGCACACAAGCGAACTCACGCAGGCGAGAAACCCTATGCATGTGATAAATGTGACTACAGGTGTTCTCAACTAGACGGTCTTACGGCACACAAGCGAACTCACACAGGAGAGAAGCCCTACGTGTGTGATACGTGTGACTACAGATGCTCTGAAGTGGCTAAACTCAAGCGACACAAACGCATCCATACAGGAGAGAAACCCTACGTGTGTGACATTTGTTCATATTCATCTTCTTGCTTGAGTCGTCTGAAGGTGCACTTTCGAACACACTCAGGTGAAAAGCCTTATTCATGTGACAAATGCGAGTACAAATGTACGTCAGCCAAATCTCTTAAGCAACACAAGACTATTATAGAGAGAAACCACACGCATGTGATACGTGTGATTATAGATGCTCTCGGATGCGTACTCTCAAGCGACACAAACGCATTCATACAGGAGAGAAACCATATGTGTGTGATATTTGTTCATATTCATGTTCTAACTTTGGTTACATGAAGGTGCACATTCGAACTCACTCAGGCGAAAAGCCTTATGCATGTGACACATGTGACTACAGGTGCAGTAACCTATCCAATCTTAAGACACATGACGCGAACTCACACAGGAGAGAAACCCTGCACGCGTGTGATATGTGTGACTTTAGCTGCTCTCGAGCCTGACCTCAGCGACATAAACGCATTCACACAGGCGAGAGAAACCATATGCATGCTGATAATGTGTGACTACAGGTCCAATCAACTAGTCCGTCTTAAGGCACACAAGCGAACTCACACAGGCGAGAAACCCTATGCATGTGATACATGTGACTACAGGTGTACTCAACTAGACGGTCTTACGGCACACAAGCGAACTCACATAGAAGAGAAACCATTTGCGTGTGATACATGTGACTACCGGTGCCGTCACCTATCCAGTCTTGTGACACACATACGAACTCACGCAGGAGAGAAGCTCTATGCATGTGACACATGTGACTACAGGTGCACTGAAGTGGCTAAACTCAAGCGACACAAACGCATCCATACAGGAGAGAAGCCCTACGTGTGTGACATTTGTTCATATTCATGTTCTCGCTTGAGTCGTCTGAAGGTGCACTTTCGAACACACTCAGGTGAAAAGCCTTATTCATGTGACAAATGCGAGTACAAATGTACGTCAGCCAAATCTCTTAAGCAACACAAGGGCATTCATACAGGAGAGAAACCACACGCATGTGATACGTGTGATTATAGATGCTCTCGGATGCGTACTCTCAAGCGACACAAACGCATTCATACAGGAGAGAAACCATATGTGTGTGATATTTGTTCATATTCATGTTCTAACTTTGGTTACATGAAGGTGCACATTCGAACTCACTCAGGCGAAAAGCCTTATGCATGTGACACATGTGACTTCAGGTGCAGTAACTCATCCAATCTTAAGACACATGAGCGAACTCACACAGGAGAGAAACCATACGCGTGTGATATGTGTGACTTTAGCTGCTCTCGGATGCCTGACCTCAAGCGACATAAACGCATTCACACGGGAGAGAAACCCTATACATGTGATATGTGTGACTACAGGTCCAATCAGCCAGCAAATCTCAAGACACACAAGCTAACTCACATGGGAGGAAAGCCCTAGACACGTGATAACACACTGTCAATGATATAGCTGTTCTGTTCTATGTGGACAAACAAGACAAGACGTCTGGCTAGCTGGAGCCACGTACTGTTGCTACGTACATAAACTAGTGTCGTTTATTATACAAACACCAACTGCGCATGACACGCCTATATATTCAGTAACAATAGAACATCTTCCCCGTTTTCAAAAGAAATTACACAAATTAAGCCATTCAGTATACAGCATATAATTGCCACTCAATATTTAACATAAAGAACTATATATGGTTGACAATACACTTAAACCATGTTCACGTCATAGCTTATAACTATTTACATAGATGTAATCACTCTGGGTTTTACCACCCTACCATAGCGCGTGGTGTATAAGCCAGAATCGAGCCTTTTTGAATTACTCTCACTGGACACAAATCTCTTAACTTCAACTTTCAAGCTGCTTTGCTGAGATTTGTGTAGGCCGGTCGGATGTGATAGGGTTGTATGACACTAGTAGCTTCTATCATGACCCCCATTACTGGGGTCTGTGTTGGCTCGGACTAATGCACAAACCCCCCCCCATTACAATCTTCATCTGCTCTGTCATTCGTCAGATTCAGGAACTTGCTAGAGCTAAATTGCTTGCTATATAAGCAGGGTTGTTAGTATAGGGTATTTAACCTAGCAAAGACCGTTTCTTTGAGCCCTAGTAGTAGTACTAGCTCTAGTAGTAGTACTATATATTATGGTGATTAGTATGTGAGTAGATAGTCTCTAGCTACTATAGTAGTACTAGTAGTATCAGTGTATAGTTGAGTAGTAGTAACTAGTTACAGTACTAGTTAGTAGTAGTAGTAGCAGCAGCGTAGTAGTGGGAGTAGTAGTACGTACTTACCCAGCTACTATTATCCTTGCTAACATGTACTTGTAGCTATTAGAAAGTATTCTTAGGTGTGGTGCAGAATGACAATGTGTAGTCTCCCGGAGTGGGAAGAACTGTGTAAACACAATGTTGTTAGTGGCAGTCGAGTAAACTAGCGGCTCGCCATGCTCTTGTACCGTGCTACCCAATACTGTCGGCTTTGTGCAATATTGGCCAGGCACTGGATGCAGTTTGGCGGGGGTTATAGCTAGACTGCTACACGTTCGACACCTTCACTCGCGGCGAAGTTAGCCTTCGGCTAGCACGAAGCGTGTCGCGAAAGACTGTGTTGTAGGTTGGGTAGGGAGGTCTAGGCCGTTAGGCGCGTTGGTATACCACGTAACGCGGTGTTTAGAGTGAAGCAGCCGACCCTTGCTGCTGCAGGGAAAGTCGTAGGGAAATGCTATATGGGGGATGTGGTGTAAGCATCCCCGGCGTGGATGCCGCTGTGTTCGTGGTAGTCGTTGCGTGGGCACGTGGTGGGTGGTGAGCTGATGTGTGAGGTGGTGATGCGTTGCGAGAGAGGCTTAACGGGGGGGTTGAGTGAGACGAGAGTGAGACGCGTAGAGTGCCGAAGCGACGTAGAGCCCCTGAGAGCGGAAGGGTAGTGCGATGATTATCTGAGGTAGTGTGGGGAGTAGTTGGGGGTAGTATGTATAGGAAGTTATGGGTATTGTGAGTGAGGAGAAGAGTGAGAATGAGTAGTGATGAGTGAGATGAGGTGGGTAGTGAATAGAGGTGTAGAATAGTTAGGTATGAGTATGAAAGGGGTGAGGTGAGAAGTAGGAGTGAGAGAGTGGAGTGGGGGGTGAGGGTGAGGGTGAGGGGTGAGGATAGGTAGTGCTGGGGTATGAGGTGAGGGGTGTCGTCGCAGCAAGGATGTAGATTATGGCGTGGGGGAGAGATATCATGATGCAAAAAGGCCCGTGCGCTAACGGCGGTGGAGTGGCCGTGAGTGGGCCTGAGAGCCAGTCGTCGGTGCTGGCGTTTGGTGCGTGTCGCTCGCGGGTTGGTTGTGTGGAGAGATGGGGGGGTTGGGGAGTGGAGGGGGTGCAGGGTGTGAGGGGGTGTAGGGTTGTGCATCATGGATGTGCCTGTGCCCCACGCGCAGGTAGATTAAGTTTTCGTGGAGCGAACCCCGGTAGATTATGAGATATATAGTATAGTATAAAGGGTATATTGGGTGTAGGGTAGGTATTTGTATAGTTGGGGGTAGGGTATGATGGAATATATATTAGGTGGGGGTGAGTATGTGATAAATAGTATGTGTATGAGGTGGTGGAGTAGGTATTTGATATTGTAGTGGTGAGTGAGGGGGGGTGAGTGTGTGGGGTATGATATAGAATATTAGGTAGGAGTGGGATGCCGGGAGGTATAGTAGGCGAGGGGGTAGGTGTGGAGGGTGTGGGAGGGGGGGGGGGCGGTGGGGGGGGTGGTGGAGGTGTAGGGGGGGAGTGTTGAGCGTGTGTGGAGAGTGTGTGGTGAGGGGAGTAGGACGGGTCAGACGTGGTATCACGTGGAGCTGTCGCTCGAGGCGCGCTCGCGGTTGGAGTGGAGGTACGACGCGCATGGATGGCGATAGCATTTCCGTGAGCGGAGCTTGTCCCTGCAGGGAGCGGGTGCGGCGTGGGGCGTTGGAGTGTGAGAGAGCTGCAGGTATGAAGGGTGGGGGGTAGTAGACCGCGCGTGGAGCGCTGGAGGGAGCTGCCCGTTTAGGCGGGCAGACTGCGGGACAGGTGTGAGACGGACAGCGCGTGCAGGGGGGGGGGGGTGGTTAGCGAAGGGGAGGTGAGAGGCGTGGCGGGGCCGAGTGAAGGGGGGGGGGCGGGACGGTGGAGCCAAGTTCTAGCGTGATACAGCGCGGGGGGGCCCCCAAACGGCATCCGGAGGCGGGGGTGCCTCAAGTAGGTTGAGGGGAGCCGGGACGAGGGTTGCGGGGGGGGGGGGGAGCGAGGGGAGGTAGAGGAGCATGGGCGGAGACACTGTGTGACTCGACTGCTCGTGGAGACAGAGATGTGGTGGGTGACCACAGCTTCTTGCAGGTCAGGGGAGAGACGGGTGGGTGATAGCGCACGAGCGGGTGGGTGAGAGCGTGGCGAGCGAGGGCATGCTTGAGCAGGATGTGGAGCGTGGGGGGTAGGGAGAGCTCACTGACTGACTGAGCTGCTAGTGCTGGGCTGCTACTACTGACGTGAGCTGACTGGGGGTGGACTGAGGGGTGACTAGTTGACTGAGTGACTGGTAGCTACTAGCGACCGAGTAGCGGTTAGGTGGGAGCTGGACGTATGAGAGGTAGACGTGAGAGGGTGAGAGTGCCGTGGGAATATAGGGGTACGGTGAGGGGTATAGGTAGTGAGGTGGAGGCTGGAGTGATGAGAGCTGGGGGTGAGGTGGAGCGACGTGAGCTGCGCAGAAGAAAGAGCGGGGGGGAGGCGAGTGCGTGGTCTAGGGTGTAGGGAGTACGCGCCGGGGGCGGTATGAGCGTGAGAGGAGAGCGGCGGCGGGTGCGTGTGAGGGTAGGTGCGCGAGAGCAGATGTGGAGCGGAGCGCAGAGGCGGGTGGATCGTGGAACGCGCATGAGGCCGGGAATGGGGCAGGGGAGAGGGATGTGGGTGAGAGGGGATGGGGGGGTGGCGTGAGTCCGGAGCGCACAGCAGAGCGCGCGAGGTGAGATGGGGTGGGTGTCGATGAGTAGGAAGTGGCTGGATGGGAGTGTGCGATAGCGGGAGCCCGGTGGATCACATGGGCGGCGGGGCGGGTAGGCAGGAGTGCGTGCAGGCGAAAGCCGAGGGGGAGGGGGGTTGGGGGGGCGCGGTGGAAGAGTTGTGGAAGTTAATAGTGGATGTGTTGGGGGTGGTGCGCGTGAGGGGGGAGAGGTGGAAGGTTGCAGAGGAGGAGGCGGTGCGGGGGGGGATTCTGGGCTTGATGACAGCGACGCGCGGGGAGGGATGGGGGTGGAGGGGGGGGGGGGGGGGGTGTGGTTAGAACGGCCAGTGAGGTGGGCGGGATGTAATGCGTGAGTGGAGGATATGAGTGGTATGAGGAGCGTGGGGGATGAGCGGGTGAGGACGTGGTGTTGAGAGTGGAGGTATGAGCGAGATGAGAGTGTGGCGTGTGATGGGTAGAGATAGGGGTGTGGGGAGTGGGCGAGATATGCGTTACGATGGCCTTATTGTGTGTAAGGTTGCTTTCTGAAAACGGGGAGACGCAGTGGTCTGAGTTGTTACTGAATATGATAGGGCGTGTCATGCGCCAGTTTTGTGTTTGGATAATAATAAGTAGACGGTGGTGTGTGAGGTGAGGGGGCGGGTGGTGATGTGAGTGAGTGTGTGCTCCAGTAGCCAGAGGGCGGTCTTGTGCGTGGTGTGGTGTGGTGTCCACATAGGACCAGAACAGAGGCATATCAGTTGACAGTGTGTATTTCAGGTGTCGTGAGGGCGTGTGGCGTGACCCGATGTGTGAGTGAGCTTGGGTGTGCTTGGAGAGGTGGTGGGGCGTGGGGTGGTGGCAGGCCGCGTGGAGAGCAAGGCAGAGGAGCGAGTTGATAGTGAGGGGTTGTGCTGCTCCTGGGAAATTTTGCGTGTGTATGTGTGTGTGTGTGTCTAGGTTGGTGTGTGTTCAGCAGGCAGTATACTTGAGTGCTGTGGTTGAGTGTTCGTCTCCGTGGTGAGTGTCGTCGATCGTGTGAGAGTCGTGGTTGGATGATTACTGCACGCTGAAGTACACATGTGTTCACAGGATGAGGGGCTGGTTCGCTGAGTGAGTGGTGCGGCGAATGTGCACCTTCATGTATACCAAAGTTAGAGACATGAATATGAAGCGAGGAAGTATCAGCGCAGCGATATTGGGTGTCTGCTCGTGTGAGTGGATGCGGTGGTGTGGGGGTGTGCGCTTGAGAGTGGAGAGCAGACGCGCGGATCTCTCTTCGGGGCTGGGTTGTTGGCCATCGTTTGAGGTGATATACACGTAATCACATGGCGGGGGTGTTGGGCTTGCTGCGTGTGAGTGGGCGCTCGCTGTGTGCTTAGAAGAGAGTTTGGGAGCGTGTTGTGTACTCGCTTTTTGTCACATGAATAGGCTTTTCACCTGCAGTGGTTCGCAAAATGCACCGTCAGACGACTCAAGCGAGACATGAATGATGAACAGGAATGGGTCACACACGTAGGGCTCTCGTCCTGTATGGATGCGTTGGGTGTCGCTTGAGTTTAGCCACTTAGTGCACCCCCTTGTTTGAGTCACATGTGTCGACAGCATAAGAGCTTCTGCTCCTGCCGTGAGTTCGTATGGTGTGTCACAGAGATCTGGATAGGGTGACGGCACGGTAGTCACATGTATCACACGCAAAGCGTTTCTCTTCTATGTGACGTTCGCTTGTGTGCCGTAAGAGACCGTCTAGTGAGTACACCGTGTCACATGTATCGACGATGCATAGGTGGTTCTCGCCTGTGTGAGTTCGCTTGGTGTGCCGTTAAGACGACTAGTTGATTGGACCTGTATCACACAATATCACATGCATATGCGGTTTCTCGTCTGGTGAATTGCGTTTATGGCGCTTGGAGGTCAGTGCGTCGAGAGCAGCTTAAAGTTCACACATATCACGACGCGATGTTTCTCTTCCTGTGTGAGTCGCCTCATGTGTCGTTAAGATTGGGATGAGGTTACGTGCACGCTGAAGTCACATGTGGCACATGCATAGGCTTTCTCGCCTGAGGTGCAGTTTCGATGTGCC